AAATCAATTGCTTTTTGATATTCATTAGAACCATTATATTTATTATTACTTTTCATATACACTTATCCCTATATATATAATTTTATAATTTCATGTTCACTTTGTAGGTTTTCATTTATTTTAAAATTGAAGAGATTTTAAATTGGTCCTGTGGTGACAAGCAAAGTAGACAGACAGAAGTATTTTCAAGCATATATTCAATAATTGACATAAAAGAGAATAAAATCCTCAACTGGTTCTATGAAAAATAATGTCTAGATTTAAATTATTTAATGATAAGTAAAGTATTGATGACAGGTCTGTGTTCAGTTTATAATGAAAAGTCATGTCAATTTTGACAAAAGAAATACAAATGTAAGAAAACCTCTTTTCCTTAAGTTAATTCAAAAGACAAGGTGTTTTAATGAAATAAATACAAGTTACGAATATTCTTTATTAAATGGAAAGCTTATATTTTTATACAATTTATAATAATAATAATAGTACAATAAATAAATAATAAATATTATCAATATGTCTTAGTAACCATATTGGTATCTTAAGACTTTCCGGAAAGCTCCAGCGCTTAATTTGTAACTCGTATCCATAAAAATAAAATAATGAAAATAACAATAGTACGCGATAACAATATAGACTAAAATAATTAATAATAAGGATTGTAACGCACACGTTACACATAAATTATATCTTGTGTCACAGTTTCCGTCTTATCTTCGAAACGTTATTATTATTATTATTATTAAACCGAACAAGCAAACAAATTGTTACAACAAATAAGGGAATTGTTTGCAATGATATATGTATATTATCTTTGTAAATATATCCAAATTATCAATTAGTAGAAATTATGATTGGAGTATATTTTAAAAAGAAAAAAAATAAGAATATTGTTATTGTTATTTATGATGATCTTATGCTTTTTAAAAAAATTGGATATATGCTGCGATCCTGCATAATGATTTATAAAGTATTTTAAAATATACAACAAATAAATTATTTATTTCTAAAATGAGTCATTGATTATTATTTCGTGACTTAATATTTATTGATCAGATCAATTATTTTTAGAAAAATTATTTATAATTACTAAAAATGTAAGTAAATTGTAATCTTGAGACTTGAGATTTAATGATCATTCTAAAACAGATAAACAAATGAATAAAAAGAAATTATTCTGAAGAAATTATTGCTTTGCATCAATTATACTAAAACAGTAAAATATTAATGTTAATAAAGATTTACATTAAAAAAAATTTTTTTTACACATTTAAAATAATATCATTTCAAATAAATAATTGACTACCACTTGTGTGATTGATTCAATCATTAATGCTAAATAAACAAATAACACCATTCATTGCAAGTGTGGAATAGAATAATTATTTTTTGAATTATATATCTTTGCTAGATAAAAACAAACATGACTTAGCTATTTAATCATTTCCTTGTATGTGAATGCCTCCATCTATCAAATATTCATGATTATTATTCAATATGTTAGATATCATCATTGACATAACAAACAATTGCATCACCCAGGTAGTAATGATACCAAGGCCATGCATAAATGAAACTTTTAATCATGACTGTCTACCCAGATCTCTGGGTTTCGCAATAATAAATTATTCTTCCTGATTATCAGTTATGGTTCATAAATCTGATGATAATAACAGGTGTCAGATTTAATTGAAATTTCCTGTCACAAACATGCAAGCGAATGCAATTGCACACCCTTAGCACTATGGAATTTTTTCCACAAGTATGGGCAGATTGAACAAGTCGGAAGGCTTTGGACAAAACTTTTCTTATCTTCCTCTCAAACCAGGCTTGGCTGTCACTATATGAGCATTGATTGCTGATAGTTGGTGCTTGTGTGATGATTGCTGTGTGTTATACCCCTCTAGAATAAAAGTTGGCACTTGATTCAAATTTTCCAACTTGGAAGGGTTGCTGTTTTGGATTCAGAGTTTTGAGTCCCGAGTTGCTGTCTTGTTGGTGGCACACCTACTCACTAACAACTACCCCCATTCAAAAAACAAATTAAAGAAAAACAGAGCATTTAGGAAAATGATTATATAAAACAAACATTATTTTACAACTTTCCTCTTAACGTCAGAGCTCAAATGTGATTTCAGGGTCACCAGCCCTGCAACCTCCTGTGCTTGAAACAAGTTGCAGATTCTTGTTGCTTTGATGGATCTGGCACTACAATTCATCAGCAGAGTTGTGACATGGTCACAGTGCCATCCTTCCCTAGAGGTAGGATAGTTGCAGGCAACTTTTCGGCCAACATGCCAGTGGCCATCTCTGGTCTGGGAAGATTAGTGAAAGCATCATTGATGATTGATGCAGTCTCAGAAAACTCCAGGGCAAGCATTCCTCCCCCTGGAATTCAGTTGCATCATTATATCATTGAAGGTCGCAAGTCAGATTAGCCTTTTGTACACGAGGAAGGTGTGAGAATGGCTGTAAGTGTTCAAGGTAGCGTGCATGCTTCAACGCCTGTAAATTTCCGATAATCAAACTTTGCATACCCAAAATGTTTCTTTTTCAACGGTATGCTGCCTTGACATCTTGTGATTATAATATTTATAATGATAATATTATTAATATTAACGAAAAGTAAAATATTATCAATGAAAATCTTGTAATTACCCAGCAATGATCTGCTCCGCGTTTTGATTTCCAATTAAAATGTTTATAAAATAAAGGATACTACATTATATCAATATAAGTAAAAAATAGTACCTCTGGTTAGTTATTAACACGTTTTCTTTAGGAGACCCAAACCAAACTACAACACTCACGTTTTGTCACCTTGGACTCTGTCAAAAAATAATTTGTTTTTACAAAAAAAAAAAATCAATTCGCGCCTGTCCTACCAAAAAAAAAACCAATAGGATAAATAATTAGTGCACGCGTTTGTGATCAATCAAATAAACTTTTTTTTTCTCAAAAAAAAATAAAATGTTTAAACAAAATAAAGGGAAAAGAACCCAGCAACAAAACAAAGCTGAGGTTTCTGGGTAAGTGTTTTAAGGATGGTGGTGGTGGTTATTGCCCGCCACTTGTCGTCACTCTAGTTACTTATATATTCAATTAACAAATTTCTTGACTTCTTACTTTTCGACTATTAAGGACACATTCCAATTCTGTTGTTCCTAAAGAAAAATCAAATGTTAGTATTATATCTATCATCTATAACTAATTAATATAAATAACGATGATTTTACTTACAAAGCAAAACATATATATACCCACATGTATAGGTTCTTCAAAGATGTGCAGATTTTAAAACAGAAAGATACGATTTCATTGAAAAACTCCCCATTGAGCTGAATCTACAAATAATGGAGTTCTTGGATGTAATGAGCATCTGTAGGATATCACGAGTATGTAAGAGATGGACAATATTCATTAATAGAAATTCGTCAATATGGAAAAAATTATTATTATTCGATGGATTTTATATTGATAGCAAAGATCAATCATTAATAAGATCATATAAAGGTGATGATAACCCTTACAAAAAAATTTATTACAGACATTACATTATCAAAAAAAATTGGGAAATTGGAACATTCAAACAATTATTATTTAAAGCTCATGATAGACAGGCCATGAAAGCTGTAAATTGTTTGGAGATTGATTCCGAAAGAATATTTTCTGTTCCTGACAATGATTCATGTATACATATTTATGATATTAAAACTGGGAAATTGATTTTCAACCTCAAAGGACATGATGACACTGTGTGTGCAATACAACATTTTGGGAATACATTAATTTCGGCATCTGTTGATAGAACTATTAGAGTATGGAATATTTTAAATGGTGTCTGCACACATATTCTCCAAGGACATACAAGAACTATTAAATGCATCAAGGTAATAATACCTTGTAATACAAATCCAGATCCTTTAATCATCAGTGGTTCAAGAGACACAACACTAAAGTTATGGAAGTTGCCAAACATCGAAACTACATCATTAAACACTTCATTCCTTATTAATACACTAAGAGGACATAGTGATTCCATTACGACTTTGGATGCTGCAGGAAAGAGGATAATTAGTGGTAGCTATGATAGGACAGTAAGAGTTTGGAATGTTTCAAATAATAAATGTGAATGGTGTTTGCAGGGGCACATGGAAAAGATTGTTTCTGTTCTACTAGATGACAACAATGATATATGTGTAAGTGCAAGCGTTGATGGAGTTATAAAAACGTGGAATTTAAAGGATGGCACAAATATTTGGTCATTCAGAGAAGGTAATTTGATTTCACTCTTCCTTTTACACTCTCAATAACCAATTTACTTGTTTGCTAATAATAGATTTCATTTAAGATCGGAACTATGTTGACACAATTCACTTATCTGGAGACTGTTTAATATCAGTTTCTGCTTCATCTAATCTTTATGCATGGGATTTAAACAACGGTACATTACTTTATTATTTAGATTCGATAGATTTTTGTCAACACAGTGATCACAAATTGATTGTAGGAACAAAGAGTGGTCGAATACTTATAAGGAATGCAAGAAATGGCAATTTCATTTATTGTTTGCTTGAAAGACCTAGAAATATCTGGTAAATGTCAATTTTTTACAACTATTTTAAGAATGTTATATTTATTAACATATAAAATTAATATTTTAATAAATACATAGCAATATAGTCTTTAACGAAAGGTACTGTGTAGTAGTTGTTAGAAGTCCTGTTATAACTAGATTTGTAATATTAGATTTTGAAGTTTATTGAGTATATTTATATCAAGATTACACTTCATCAACCGGTAACATGACAATTAATTAATGTATGTAGTTAAAATTAACGTTACATGTGTAAATGTGTTGTGTAACATCTAACAAAATATGTATCATACAATCGAGTTATGACAAAATAAAATAAACGAAATAAAAATAAAAATAATAACAAAAAAGAAATTATATGTTTGTAGCGACTTTAACTGTTACAATTATTGGTTAAGAAAATTATTTTTTGTCTTTCTAAAAAAGCATCTTTAGTCCTATTTGTTTTTTGTTCAATTTCCTCTGGTTCCCAGCCACTATCACATTCATCTCCTTATCCAAAATCACATATTGTTCTTCCTATGAATTTTGGCAAATGAGAATCAGAGATGAATATACTGTCAATTGTCATGGACACCTCCAATTTTATCTCAAATTAACAAATATGGAAAGGAAAAATCCAGCTATGAAAGGAAAAAAATCAAAGATTCAAAATGTACAGATCACCAATGTTAAGATTATTCATTAGTATTAATATGTTAGTATCAATGTTGTGACCCGAAACTCTGAGTTTAGGGAAAACCCGAAACCGAAACCACCTGAAACTAGTTTCGGTTAGTAGTTAATTTAGGTTTAGGTTTCAGTTTCGGTTTAGGTTTAGGTTTCTGCTTAATGTAAACTCATTACCCGAAACGTTTCGGGAAGCCAAGAAAGTTTCGGGTCACAACACTGATTTTAAATATAGAGAGACGTTAATTTGATGAAAAAGTGCTAGGATCATAATCCGGAAAATATATCAATGGCTGGAGAATATCATTGTCGTGAAAATAATGAGATTATTGATTCTGTAGCAATAAAAAGATAAGAAATCATCCATCAAATCAGACAGTTCCTGTCAGATGCAAAGAATTATTACCACCGCCTTATACAAGTCATCTATTAAAATGAATCAATTCAACAAATCGAATCATTAAATCCTTCACCAACTTATATTACCCAAATCTTTAATACATTAATGATAAACAAATGATAATGATAAAAAACCTGTCAGTTTTACGCCAATGCATTTAATCATCAAAAAAATCGTTAATTTAATACCATTTATTTATTTATTATTTCTCTCATAGTGATTATGTATTAACTATTATGTATAATTAAGATTGACGGAAAAACGTAATATATTTTTGAGCGGTCTCTGCATTAAATTCAACTCCTGCATTTTTAAACTCATTATTCAAATTGATGAGTTTTTGTTTCACTTGACCATCAGTTGCCAACCTAGCCATCTGTAGCATAGAAGGCATTTGACCTGTGCTAAGGTCGACACCCTTATTCTTTAAAATTTGAGAGAATTCTTGAATGGAAGCAATTAACTTTGGATCTTGACTAATTCTTGCCTCAATTTGGTCATTAGGGTCAATTTAATGTCGCTTTCATTTAAGCCAGCATTTGGTGTCGTTGTTGTTAAGTTTTTATTGAAATTGTATAAAGACCGTTTCGGGTAAAATGTAGATAATGAGGAACTATAAGTGATGCTTGATATGGTGTATTTTAGTGTAATCCTAATATTGTAAAGTATGGATTTGCTAATAATACTGGTCCGCAGGCAATAAAACGTTTAACAACCATAATTTAAGATTATATATATTGTAGAATAGTAAATTATACATCACGGGTAACTAATATAAAAATCGGAAATGATTTACGAAGTTACACGCAAATAAAATCGGAAAAACTATTTTTATTCAAACACCAATAAAATAAATAACTCACGGAAAATATCTCAAACACGGAGAAATAAATAAATATAAATATTCTAATATTCTAAAATGTAACAAATCTTTAATTCCTAGAATTATATTTAAACAAAAGAATTTTACATAATTCAGAATTGACTAGAAATTGCTTACAAATAATTTTCGCTGGAAGGTTCAAGAATGATTAATAATATCTTTAATAAGAATAATTTAGAACTTTATATAACTTTTAACATGTATAAATACGATGTAAATTTCTCTTTCATGTAATCTTTAGTTTATTAGTTTGGTTTTTTGTTCTTTAATAAACTCTCGAGTTATTAAGTTAACTTGACCTTGACCTTGTCCTTGACCTTGTCCTTGTCCTTGACCTTGTCCTTGTCCTTGTCCTTGTTGTTCTCGAATATTGCATTTTCGTAATAATAATAAATCTATCTCTAACGACGAAATTATACTAATCCCGCGCATAATTATTTTCTCTTATTTTATATTTGTCTCTATTATTTTTATTATTTTTTATTTCTTTTCTTTTCTTTTAGTAGGCAATATTTAATCAAATTTATTTAGTAGTTTTGGAAACGTACCTGACTTGGTATATGGCAAAGAGGTAAACGGCTAGGAGGGCACCCACCAAGAAACGTGATCAGGACACACTGTGTAATATCTAAAGAAGATATTGTTTGGTATTTCTTAGTATAAGAAATTGTTTAATGATAGTAAAAGATAGTTTTGAGAGTAAAGCATAAATATACATTCGCGAAAATTGTTATTACGATTTAGTATAAACGAAATTTAGAGATTTATGTGAGACGAAGAATATTTTCTCTCACAATATAACAGAATCTGAGAATAATTTGTTTAATTTTTCCTTTAATCTCTTATCTTAAAACCGTGACACAAGGTGTCCCACTATCAAAAAAAAATTAGTTTGTTCAATGTTATCGATGTCATTCGACATCACAATAACATAGCGGGCTTTTTCTATGATTGGCTGGCGTATAAAGAAATTGATTGGATAATTTTATTATTATGACGATCATTACTAATATATTAATAATATATACCAGATACGTCGTTATAAAGAACATAAAATTATCATTTTCAAGATAATAAAATGTACATATGAATTCATTGATAGTGTTTCTACACATCTGATTCATCAAAACACTAGTTCAAAACATTCTGCTGTTATTATAATGACAAAATGATATATAGGTAATAAAATACATCCATGATTGAAGCAACGCAAATAAACGCAAATAAATACCTTTATATCTAAATGAAAAACTTGAGGAAAAAAGTGTATCCCACGTTGAATTAAATATTTCTTATTCATAAATAATATATTTATATGATGCTGAAAGCCTACATTGAATTTTGCGTCTCAGAATTACTCAATGTACTAGTACCATATAGTTACAATAATAATTACCTAGATTATTTACATAACTAATTGATCCTTTTTGCCTAATGAAAGAGTTTTAAATATTACATGTTAATAAAGTACTTGTTCATTCAACACACTTGCTATTGCAACATACTGTTATATTCATTCATACCTTCTCTTTGGTCTAGTAGATCCAAGCATACCATAAATATTCCTTTACATTGTAGAACTACAAAATATTTTTCAAGGTGTAAATGTTTGTAAATGTACCTTTCAACCTGTTGATTCAACTGATTTGTTTTGTTATTATTATTCCTGAATTATTATAACAAAAAAAAAGTATAATAACGAAATAAATAAATAAAATATATTTGCTTTTTTTTAAATGATTGGAAACACTTCTCATCTAACTTCCGAATTACCTCACCATTTTTCAAATTACTTTGGTAATATACTAAACAGAACCTAGGCTTTATAATAGTATATGTGTTATTGGATACAAAGATTTTTTGGTGGCTGTAAAACGTTGCAAAGTCAGATGATTAAAATTTTTAATAGGAATAATATAGGAAATTCAATTTATGGAGATCGACCAATCATATTTAAGCCCGCTATGTTCATCACGACGTCAATTTTTGTATTTCACGTGATTTAAATATTTTTCTAACCAATTAAAGTCTTTTTAAATTATTGTTGAATTCGCTACTTTAAACATTGAGAGAATTAAAACAAGATCTAAAGAAGACACGTTCTCATCATTCAACACAATGACGCCAACAATCGTACCGACATCGACATCAACTCTTTACCACCAAAAATGATTCGAAATCTTAAACAAAAAATAATCACTATCAGAACTGGATAATGGTTTATCAGATAATCACCAAATAAACAATAGTACTCTTGTTGTAGCTTTAGGAAACCAAAATAATTTAAAAGTAACACTGGCTCGTTGTCGATCTTGCAAAAAATAAAAAAGTAATTCTTGATTATTTTCCTCCATATAAATTGAAATTCATTCCAACTATCAAAGAAAATAGTATTTATTTTCCTTTTAAAGATTTTTGCTTTTTGTTAGGCAACAATGCATCATCATGATGCTTTCTCTTTCCAACATTTATTATTTTTCTTTCTTCATGGTAAATTTCATATGTAATCTTTTCTTTTCTTAGATAAGCTTCCAGTGTTTGAGTATCATTTATTTTGAAAATGTAAGGAGCAATTTTTTCACCTTGTTCCTTTTTTAGAATACTTCTGATAGTACTATAATTCTTGGGTTCCATAGTAGATCTGATATAAATGAGTTTCATATTAACTATTTTTATATAGAGGTAATTCTATATATCACTTAAGATAACAAATGGGATATTATTAAAACTGATAATTATAATCACATTATAAATGACTAAATTTTGATCCCTGAAATTCTTGGTAATACCAATGTTCACTTTGTCTGGTTTTGTTGCAGAATGCCCCATATAACAATTTCATGTTTTTGGATTTTTTATTTATTTTGAAATTGGATGTCAAATATGCACATTCAATAATTTTGTAGTAGTTGTTGTATGATTTCCAGCTACTATATATTTAAAAATATAAATTCTGTTTATTTATTTATGATTTATTTATATTGATATATGTAAATAAGGTCCTGGTAGTAAAGGTTATATAATTGATGCAAAATTTATCTATACAAAGCTTCGCATTTATTATTGCTAACCAAAATTTCCTGATTTAAAAAATTTGTATAGATTTCTTATATAGCACCATTTGTAAGTTTGAATGCAAATATTTCATCTGTTTGTTCCAAAAATCCAAGCTCAAGTAATTTATCTTTATCCAAAAAAATGAAATTTTGACAAAAAATAAATTGTCATCAAACATAGTAATAGTATTTATAGCACCCTGTGCAATACTTGGGGAAATCATCAGATGGAAAATATCCATACTTCTTTTTGACAGGTTTAGAAAGCCATTCAAATAATTAGTCTAAAAGAAAAGAATACCTGTTGATAGCCCCTACTGGTGTTGTTACCCATAACATTGGTGGAAAGATCATACACTCATCCTTGAAAATGTGGAAAGATCATTGGGAGGGAAGATAAAAAGAAACATTGAATTTTTCAAACAATGCATATAAGACTTAACTGCAGAAAATTAATGCCATGATGTACAATGAGATCTGTTCACCTTCACCTTGGGTTCACAATAATAACTACATTGAACTCAACACATATAACACCCTTGAGCTTTGCCTTTTTGGTAATGTTACATTAATGTGGCTTGCATCAAATCAATTCCTTTCTTCTAGAACTTGTTTCAATCAGAATCACAACTATCTTAAAAAACATCATTTAGATTAATTTATAAGAATCTAATTTTTATTTTTGTTAAATAATGATTTTACTAGAGTTGCCTTTCTCAACTCTAACCTCTTTTCTAAACTAGTTTAGAAACCCTAAACTATTTTCAAAACTAACCCGAAACTCCTAAACTGATGATTTTATGACAATGATGTGTAACCATGATTACCGAAATCATTCATTTTCTCTATTTTCTCTTCAAGTGACCAAAGTTTTTATCAAAGTTCATTTTATTTTGATATTATTGT